ATGTGACCACCCATGATTGATTCGTGCGCCACTTCTATTATCGGGCGCCTCAACTTTTCAGGTACCATGACTTGTTTAAGTGGTTTTCCACCATTCACATAAGGGTGCTTGTACAGACGGTACAGTACTCCACATTTTTCTTCAAATGAAATCTCCGCCTGACCCTTTTATTAGCACATCGTCTCGATCCCAGTACTTGCGCAGACTCTCATCTTCACGCTGCATCTACTTGAGCTTGTCCCTATCCACAATAGGGCTGCCACGGCTACTTGGCACCTTCAAGGCCATGCGTTCATCCATTTTCTTAGCTTAACTTCTTGTAGTTACTGCACAGGCCTCTTGCCAACTGGGGTCTGGAATTTGTGCGTCCTTGGCATCAGGTACGTTGCCAATAATTAGGTCGTAGATAGGATCTGAAAGGCACTGTGCTTCTACATGACCCTTAAGATAAGGCGTATCAACATAAATTCTTGCTATAGGCACTTTCGTTGCTGTGTTGTCAATAAGCAACATAACGTTAAGGTTAAAGTCTCCGGTGAACTGATCCTCACCGACAAGGTCCTTCTTGACTACTAGTCCGCTGCAACCACTATCTCTTAAAACGTCGACAGTCTTCTCTCCAACTCTGCCCTTTACAACAGGCATCTTACTTCTTACTCCAGTTAAGGGTTCAACACAAGCGTTACTCAGCAACGGGACGTTCTTGCCACAGGCTAACAAGAGCTGATCATTTTGAATACACGACTTGACTTCCTCGGGGGTAGCGTTAAGATCGGGTGGCTTAACCAAACAGCCAGCACTAACTTGACCACTTTGCATAGGGTTACCATCCTTACCTTGGCCTCCTGACTTTCGTCCACCTGATCGACAGTTTCTCGCTTCATGACCTTGCTTGCCACACAGGAAATACCTTTTAGCTAGAGTTGGGCAGTTACTAGGTTTGTGTCCGCGGGCATTACACTTGTAACACTAGAGGGCTGTTGCGTCACTCTGTATAGTCTTTGTTTCCCCCTCCTTGGGCTGTACTTGTGGCTTCTTGCTCATGGAGCTGAACAGATGCTTTCCGTGTGCTTCTAAGTATTGATGGGCGATCTTCGCTATCTGAACAATCGTTTCCGGGGCTCTTTCACGAAGGTGAATAGCTAGCTCTTTTGCGCAAGAGTCAATAAATTGTTCTTTCACAATTAAATCTTTCAAGCCTTTCAAAAGAACGTTCAGTGTTCGACAGCTCTAACCAACGTAGTAAGTATCTATCCAGTCTCACTATAAACTGTTCAGGACTCTCGTCAACTTCCGGCTTTGATGCTCTGAATTTTCGACGATAGCCGTCCTCTGTAAGGTCATATCTCTTCATCAAAGCTAACTTTACTCGGTCATAATCTTGGGCTGCTTCTTCAGATAATCGCGAACAAACCTCTAGAGCACGTCCAGACAAAAGAGCACTAAGTTTCGAAACCCATCCTGTCTTCTCCCATTTAGCTGTAGTTGCGAACCTCTCAAATCGTTGTAGGTAAGCATCCAAGTCGTCCTTGCCATCAACAAATGAGGGAAGCTTGGGTGCCTTGGCCCTATCCTCTCTCACGCCAGCGCGTTCGTTATCGTTACCGCCTACCTCTACCGAGCTCTAGTTCATGCTTTCTCTCTTAGCGGCTTCAATAGCTTCTTTCTGCTTCAACAGTTCTGCTTCCAGCTCTAATTTTCTCAGATCGCGTTCTTGCCGCCTAGTTTCTCTTTCTTCGTCCTCTCTTCTACGCCTTTCTTCTTTCTCTCCTTCTTCCTTTCGTCTGTCTTCCTCAAGTATTCGACGTTTCTCTTCCTTTTCTGCTTCTAACTGCCTACGTTTTTCTTCTTTTTCCTCCTCCTATTGTCTACGTTTTTCTTCTTTTTCTTCTTCTTTCCTCCTTCTTTCTTCTTCTAACTTTTGTTGTTTTTCTACAAACTCGAGTAGCTTTTCTCCCTCCAATCCGAATTTTTCTCCAATCTGTATAAACTTATCCATCTTCGCAGCAGGTAGTTCACAGTAAACACACCCGATAGAGCGATTTTCGTATGACCTTGAAAAATGGTTTCGGTAAGAGTTCGTCATCTGTTTCATGACCCAATGGATGAAAAGATCAAAACATGGACTCTTCGTTTTCCCGCCAAAGAAAACCCTAACATGGAGAAGACATTGTTCGATTGGCCAATCGTGTTGCAGTATGACGTCAAAGCGAAGTATCCATTGATTTCTAGAAAGTTCTCGGGCATGAAGTGTTTTCACCCGAACGTTCGCTTAACCAACCAAAAGCCACCCGCGTTTGTATCCGTTCGATAAACCAATCAAATCGCTCTATTTCCTTCGTTTGTTGTTTCTGTTTTGTTCGCGCGTTTTCATTTCAAGGTCATACGAAAATCGCTCTA